TCGTTTTTGCCTTCGCATGGTAGGAAACGCGATTTGTTGCCTTTTCAAAAGGGTACAAACCCCCGATGTTCCTTTTTCGATTTACAGTGCAACCAAACCGGGTGGATGGTTCGGTTGGGTGGTGAGAAAGATCAAACCATCAGAAAAAAAAAATCCATCCGGCTGCCAGGGAAGTAAAACATTCAGCCCCTCCGTCGGCGAAATTTGCTTGAAATTTGTTTGTTGTGCCTGCTCACATACGTCGTATGCTAGAAACTTAACGTAACGGTCTGGTCTGCAGTAAGCATCAACAACAACAAGACTACCATTGGCCAAATCTCGAGCGGCCCGAACTGAAAGGTAGCGTTGTTTCGGAGCTCTCGGGAGAAGAATACTTCCATAACAAAACTTTCGGCGCGGCGTCGCGACGTAGCAAACAACAACAACGGCGTTCCCTCGAGAAAAAGGAAGCAGCCGAACACAGCGGAACATGCAGGGCGGGAGGGGGAACCTGCGCCGCGTCCGGCATACCGGGAACCGGAAACCCAGTTCGATAGATATTCGCTTGGCATCATTTTTATTCTTTCAGATCTGAAAATGCGGTGGCTGTCGTAGTAGAGAGAGAGAGAGAGAGAGAGAGAGAGAGAGAGAGAGAGAGAGAAGTCTCCAGACTTTTCTTTATTGTCCTGTTTTTTTCTTATCCCTTTTCCTTTCTTTCCCCCCACCCCCCACAGCAGGTGTGAGGCATCGCTTTGCGCGACATCATTAAAACGGCCCTCCCTGCCAGCGATATTTTTTTCCCTTTCTTTTTTCGAGTCTGCTTGTTCCGAAGGTGGTGTGGTGTTTCCTTTTTTCCCCCGCCTTTTCTCTCTCTTCTCCTTTCTCGTCCGTCAGATTCGCGCGCCCTCCACTTGCAGCCACCAGCCTGCTGTTCACTTCCGTTTTGTTTTCTCCCTCTCTTCCCGTGAATAGGTTTTGATTATCGCTTATCGCGTACACGTGCCCCCCCCCCCTCTCTCTCTCTCTCTCTCTCTCTCTCTCTCTCTCTCTCTCTCTCTCTCTCTCTCTCTCTCTCTCTCTCTCTCTCTCTCTCTCTCTCTCTCTTTCTCTTTCTCTCTCTTTCTCTCTCTTTCTCTCTCTTTCTCTCTCTTTCTCTCTCTTCTCTCCGTCTTTCTCCCCGTCTTTCTCCCCTTCTCTCTCCTCTTCTCTCTCCCCTTCTCTCTCTGTATCTCTCTCCCCTCTCCCTCCCCAGGTGTACATTTGTAGCGGGACTTTTCAGTCTCTTTAATGTGGACCAAATAAACTAAAAAATTCTCAAATCTCCCCCTCCCCCCTCTCACTTTACCCGCGCTATTCGGTCGTCTTGCTAGCGGGTACAGACAGCGTCGATGCAAGTATTGCGCCACCACTACCGCGTGTGCAAATGTTAAAGAAATGTGAAATACAGTCACGACTGCTTCCTCTAAAAAGAAAGCGGACTTCTAATCCATCAAACTAACTTTCTAACTAAATAGCAAATCCTGACTCCTCTATTAATTTCTTAGGGGCTGCGCTACCTTTCAAGGCACTTTATATGGAGACATCCGGATTAATATGAGACCGATAAGGGGCTTTGTTTCTACTCCTCAAAAAACTCTCTATAATGGTAGTGGATATATTTTTACTACGGTCAGTCCGACTTCCCAGGACTCGATTTGGAGTCTCTCTAAAAATAGGAGCTCTATGATGTATTTATAAGGTAGTGTATTTACTTTTTTGGAAGGTATTGGTTATTGCTTTAATGTTTTCGCGCGCAGCCTCCCCCTCTGGGCGACACGGCTGCCACGCTGCGCTGGCGAGAGCGCGTAGGGGCCTGCCTCATTCTTTTCTCATTTCCCCTCGATTCTTTTCTCTCGGTCTTTTCCGCCTCTCTCTTTCTCTCACTCTCCCTCTCCGGTAATTTCCGCCCCGAGTCTCATCTCGCGCTTTTTGTCGCGTACCCTCGTGGTTGAGGGGGGGGGGGAGAGAGAGAGAGAGAGAGAGACAGAGACAGAGGAGAGAGAGAGGGGGGACGTGATGAGTTCAAACCGTTGCCGTCGCTTTCTTTTTTAACGTCTAACTTTTCGTAACTGATTCGGCAGGATTGACTGGGTCGAGGTCGGGCTGCTTCCTCTTGATTACAGTGCATCTCGCGACGGGCCGTCGTGTTGCGCGGGTCAGTGGCGAAGGCCGGCTGCTCGGTCCGGGTCGTCTGCTGGCTGCCTGCCTGCCTGCCTGCCGGCTCGGGGTTAAGGTTAGAGGGGAGGGAAGGGACTTTACGGCTGAGACGGCTATCGCCGCTTTATGCGTGCTTTATGCGAGCTTTATGTGATGTGCTCCCTCCCCCTCCCTTCTACCTGGAGCAGCGCAACAAGTGCGTCGAGTACCCTAAGCGACGGGAGCCGAGACGTGCCCCCTGGTCGCTTGCCAAATTTGATAGAAACAATTTTCTGCAATCTTTGCTCTCTCCTTTTTTTGTCTATTTAGGAATTATGAACAAAAACAATAGCTCGTCCTTCTCTTTTTAGGTGAAAAGGAGGGGGGGGTGGGGTCTGCGAACAACATTAGCACCGAAGACTGAAGCAACTATAAGCCTCTGCTCGTCCCCCCACCCCCACCCCCGGTGCCCCTGCAGGCTGCCGGCGCACTTAGCCCCCGCACATGGGGCCCATCATTAGTATCGACATAGTCATGTTTCACCCCTCTGGCTCGATACTCCCCCCCCCCTCTCTCTTACTTTTTGTATGTCCCGCTCCTTCCTACTTTCACTCTCACCCCTTTAAGCCTCTTTCACTTGTTTTCCTCTTGTAGCCCTTTAAAAGAGATCGACTTCACGCTTTCAAACAGCCCTTGCTTTGCCACAGGAACTGTGAATGAAAGAAATAACACGCTCATCACATAAGTAAATATCAATAATTCCGGAAGGAAAAGTGTTTGAGAAGACGAGGGTTTGAGGGAGCGAGATGAAAGTGTGTATCGGGAAGACGTGTCGTGTGTTTTCTTTTCAAGAAGTAAGGCTTGGCGGTGCCGACGTGCGGGGAGAGTCAGGGCGTGGCGCGGCGGAGCGCGGCGGGGCCGTGGGGAGAGGTTTCGTATCTCAATATCTTGGCTCCGCCTTACGCCGATGGCCGCCTGTCAATAAATCAAACATTAATCTCATTTTTATCAGATGCCGCGCGCGAACGCCACCGAGGAGCGGGGAGAGGGAGTGAGAGAGAGGGAGGGTGAGAGAGAGGG